ATCCCTGTCCATCCACCATAATCTTTGGAAGCAATAACTACAAGGGGTTGAGAGCCATCATGTGAATGAGCAGACTGTTGCGTCGCATACGGGAAGGGCTGTGGCTCAGGGGAAGACTCTTCTGCTTTGCATGCAGAAGGTCTAAGGTTCAATCCATGGCATCTCCAATTCAAAGGGCCAGGCAGTAGGTGATGTGCAAGACCTTGACCTGAGACCCTGGAGATGAAGTAAGCTCTGATTCATGGACTTCAGGCTGGGTGGGAAATAGTGTCAGAGTCAGTTTGGCGTAGTGGTTAGGAACGCAGACTCTAATCTGGGAGAACCGGGTTTGATTCCCCACTCCTTCACATGCAGCTGCTGGTGTGACCTTGGGTCCGTCATAAATTCTTTCAGCGCTGTTTTCTCAAGAGCAGTCCTCGAAAGAGCTCTCTCAGCCCCACCTACCTCAGAGGGTGTCTGTCGTGGGGAGAGGAAAGGAAAGGCAATTGTAAGCCTCTCTGAGGCTCCTTTGGGTAGTGAAGGGCGGGGTATAAATCCAATCTCTTCTCTTCTTCTTCTTTAAAGTACCACCAGACTTCTGTTTCATTTATTTTTATAGTCTAACTTATACTGAGAGAGACTGAATAGCTCAAGGTTAACTAGTGAGCTTAATGGTACAGTGGGGGTGCAAACCCCGGTTTTTCGCATCCAGCACTCTAATCCAGGGATCCCAACCTTTTTTAGAAGAAGAAGAGATTGGATTTATACCCTACCCTTCACTCGGAGTCTCAGAGCAGCTTACAATCTCCTTTCCCTTCCCCTCTCCACAACAGACATCCTGTGAGGTAGGTGGGGTGAGAGAGCTCTGACAGAAACTGCTCTTCTCAAGAACAGCTCTGACAGAACTATGGCTTGCCCAAGGTCATCCAGCAGCTGCGAGTGGAGGAGTGGGGAATCAAACCCGGTTCTCCCAGATTAGAGTCCGCGCATTTAACCACTACACCAAACTTAGCTTGTAACTTCTTGGAATCCTGACCCAGGGTGGCGGGCAAAACCACAAAATGGCTGCCAAAGTAGGTGGAGGCACACGCACAGAGGAAGACTAAATGCAGGGGACAAGAAGAGTAATTTTTTAGAAAATACACTGGGGAAAAGGAGTGTGAGAGAATGAAACCAGCTGCTGCCGAAATAAAGTTAGTTTAATCTGCACAGCCCATCGTCTCCATTGGCCAGTCAGAAACCCCTGCTGGGCACGAGCCCCACCTGGACCCCCCCCCACATTCTAAAAATGCTTGGGCATCATGAAAGGTGTTTGTGGGTTCCATGGTTTCCACAGGCTGCATGTTGGGGACCCCTGCTCTAAACTCTACATAACCCTGGTTCAGGTCACTGTTCCAGGCACCCCCAGAAGGGTGAGGCTTAACAGTTCTTTGCTGTCTGGAAGCTGTTTTAAAAGGAAGCAATGCAAGAAACAAAGGATTTAGAAAACATATATGTCTGGCAAGAACCGATGGGCACATTGATCAGGTGTTATTGATTCATGTGCTGAGCTCTTGGGTATAGACTCTGGGGTTACAGCTGAGGCGTTCTGTGGGGAGTGTTATAACATCATTGCAATAAATCGATTTCCACTGTACTTAAACCTAGCAGCAGAGTATGTTATAGAATTACATGCTATTTGGAAAGATGTCTGTGGTCAGGAATCCGGCCATAAAAACTGCGCTCAGCTGGTGGAAATTTCTCATTGGATGTCACTGTTCCCCCCTCTCGCCCTTTCTGTGCTCTGGCATTTTGCGGTTTTTGACTTGCTCTAAAATTACTGCCAGTCTACTGTTCCCGTATATGTGTTCGTGTTCTACAAACAATGGGTGTTTTCATAACCGAAGTCCATTAGCTAAAGTTATTTGTAACAAGATAACTGACTGGCCGGGCTTCAAAGAATCATCAGGGAATCAGAAGAAAAGAAGGTGCTTTTCTAGAGATAACCCATCCATGTTATGTTTTTAAACTTCTCGGTCCAGAATCTCTTTGTAAATGCAATGAGAGTCACTCAGACTTGAACAAATATTGGAATGTAGAACTATTTTACAAGGGGGGGTGGGGACCCAGAAAGAAACCTCTTAAAAGGGAGAACGTGAAACTTTAAGATATCCTTTCCAAACCCTGCATTTACATGCTGCTTTTGTTATTTTTGGCAGGTTGTGTTTGGAGATATAGTTTATATCTAATGAATTACCAACCAAAGGCACATGGCTTTTCCTGGTGTTCTTCTGTGACCCCTGGAAAGATTACTTCTGGGATCATGGGACCAGTCAGTGTGAACGATCGGTCAAGCAGGTCAGGGGTAGGCTGCAGTGAGGCGGGGGAAAGGGGTGAATCACCCCTCCATTCTCTTCCAACACTGCAGCTATGGTAATGACTGAGGTAGGGCTCTCCCCGACCTCTAGAATGTGCATCCTAGGCCGTCATCTGGTTCCCTCTCTGCTGACATTGCACAGAAAAGTTGACCGGGCCCCCCCTTTAATGTTAGCATTTGGATAACTGGTATTCATTTCTGAGTTTCCTAGTTCTTATTATTTTCTCTGCCCCACTGTTTCATTGTCCACTATTTCTGGTTGTATTTTTTTAATGTATTGCTGCTGTTTGATATGATCTTATGGAGCTCTGTGCCGTTTTGCCATTTCTTAAAAAGTAAATTAAACATAAAAAATGAAACCTGTGCAAAAATAACGAAAAACATTCAACAGACAATATAATGATATAAACTTGTATAAGTGGTGAAAAGGAGATATCACAGGAGTTGGTCTGCCGAACATTAAGAATGTAAAAGATGCTTTGTATGACTCTACAATATTGTAATTGGGCAGTTTTGGTGTCCCACTTTTGAGGAAGCTATGCGATACGGCAACTGGAAGCTGGCAGAGCCGTCAAGTGGATACACAAGCGGCGAGACGAGTTTTGCGAAGAGGAATTATATATATTGATGCCTGGACTTTTCACTGCTTGCGAAACTTGCCTTGGACTGTTTCTAAAGGTTATTTATGTATTTGGACCACGTGTTCCGTTATTTTGTATTTTTGAGTTACTGACTTGCATAGCATACATTACATATTTTTGATAAACTCCTCTACTTACAGAAGTTCATATCATTGTATTGTTCGTTGAATGTTTTTCGTTATTTTTGCACGGGTTTCATTTTTTTTTTGTTTAATTTATTTCTTTAAAAGTGGCTTGTCCGTTTTGCAAACGAGAAACTAAATAAATAGCCTCATTCACCAAATTTAGTGTTCTCCTTTTCCTCATTGAACTGATGTCACCCTGCTAGGAGGAAGGGTAGTAACCACCTGTAGGTGCTTTTTAGATGTGGCCGCAAGGGTGATTTTATTTGCTAGGGCTTTTAATGGAGTGTGAGCTGCAAGCAACCTGGCCTGGATGGTCCAGGCTAGCCTGGTCTCGGCAGAACTCAGAAGCTAAGCAGGGTTGTCACTGGTCAGTATTTGGATGGGAGACCAGCAAGGAGGTCCGAGGTTGCTACGCAGAGGCAGGCAAGGGCAAACCACCTCTGAGTGCCTTTTGCCTCGAAAACCTGACGGGCTTGCCGTAAGTGGACTGCAGCTTGATGGCATTTGTTGTGGGGGTGTTATTCTGGGTTTAATTGTACATAAGAACATAAGAGATGCCAATGTTGGATCAGGCCAAAGGACTACCAGTCCAACACTCTGTGTCACACAGTGGCCAGAAATACCAGTGCCATCAGGAGGTCCACCAGTGGGGCCAGGACATTAGAAGCCCTCCCACTGTTGACCCCCCCCCCCCAAGCACCAAGATGACAGAGCATCACTTGCCCCAGAGCCCCTATCTATACCTTGTGGCTAATAGGCACTGATGGACCTCTGCTCCATATGCTTATCTAATTCCCTTTTGAAGCCGTCCATGCTTGTAGCCACCACCACTTCCTGTGGCAGTGAATTCCAAGTGTTAATCACTCTTTGGGTGAAGAAGTCCTTCCTTTTATCCGTTCTAACCCGACCGCTCAGCAATTTCATGGAGTGCCCACAAGTTCTTGTATTGTGAGAAAGTACTTTGTATGTTTTAAATTTAGATTTGTCAGCTGTCTTGAGTCACAAAGAAAAGGTGGGGTATAAATGCTTTAACAAATGCATGACTTTTATGAGAATGAAAAAGGGTGCACTCAGGGATGTCAGTGGGTGAGGCTAAAAGCTGCCCCAAAAGCCTGGTGTACCCCACTGTGTGGTAGAAGGCAGGTACCCATGCCTTCTATACCTTGTCCAAAATTACGACCCGTTTATAATCAGCCTTGTGTGTATAGTCAGGTTCTTGGACATGCTAGAGGAGGCCTACAGAAGATGTGGCCTACAGAAGATGTGGCCCATCCAGTCAAACACAGTCCCCCCCCCCCAGCCTTGTGGGTCAGCCTACCTCTGTCTCAATAAGTATTCTAGTTTTTGCAGTCTGCCGGTGTAAGTTTGGTTTTATAGCAGTCTGACAGGAAATGGTACATGGGTGACGGATTACTTTGAGCCTGGATGGGCACGTGTTTTGTTAGTCTCTGCTGGGGGGTGATGCAGTTTTCAAAGAGTGAGTCTTGTGAGCAAAAATTCTACTTTGTGAGCTACTGGCATTAAAGTTGTGAGCGAGTGATTTGGCTGTTGCGTAAATTAGTTTGCTCTAGAGCCATCCTTCAAGAGCTAAGACAAAAATGTGTGAGCCGGAGGCTAAAAAAACTGTGAGCCAGCGCACACTAACTCAGCTTAGAGGGAACACTGTCAGTTATAGGCATTATGGTTAAGATTGCTGTGTTTCCCACCATTTAATCATTGTCCTTTTCTTTTTCTTTTTCCAAAGGATGAAAGAATGATGTGATGGAGAGAAATATGGGCCATTGGTCAGGTCCTTTGGCCCCCGTGTCCGGCCTTGCCTTCTTGCTTGCTCAACTTTTTGCCAGCGTCTGCCATGGCCTTCCAGGGACAGCACCACTCGGGTTCCACTTCACACATTCCATGTACAATGCAACGGTGTATGAAAACTCTGCTGCGAGGACCTATCTTAACAGTCAAAGCAGGATGGGGATCACCCTGGCAGACCTCTCCTGGGATATCAAATACAGGATAGTGTCTGGCGACGAGGAGGGCTTCTTCAAAGCAGACGAAGTCGTGATAGCAGATTTCTGTTTCCTTAGGATAAGAACTAAAGGTGGCAATTCTGCTATATTGAACAGAGAGATTCAGGACAACTATTTATTGATAGTAAAGGGCTCTGTCCGGGGAGAGGACTTGGAAGCGTGGACAAAAGTGAACATACAGGTTTTAGACATGAACGATTTACGGCCGTTGTTTTCACCCACCACGTATTCGGTAACAATAGCGGAAAGCACTCCTTTAAGGACTAGTATCGCACAGGTCACCGCCACGGATGCTGACATTGGTTCCAACGGTGAATTCTATTACTACTTCAAAAATAAAGTTGACCTCTTCTCCGTCCATCCAACTAGCGGGGTTATCTCTTTAAGCGGACGGTTAAACTATGACGAGAAAAACCGGTATGACCTTGAAGTCCTGGCCGTAGACCGTGGGATGAAACTGTACGGTAACAATGGTGTAAGCAGCACTGCCAAACTTTATATTCACATTGAACGTATCAATGAACATGCCCCAACTCTCAGTGTAGTAACCCACGTCCCCTTCTCTTTGGATAAGGAACCCACTTATGCAATTGTTAACGCTGATGATCTTGATGAAGGTGCCAATGGTGAGATTGAATCGGTTACTATTGTTGCCGGAGATCCCTTGGAATACTTCGTTTTGACTAAGGAGGGTAGATGGATGAATGAGTACAAAATCAAAGAGAGGAAGCCCATCGACTGGGACAGTTTCCCCTATGGTTGCAATCTCACTCTCCAAGCCAAGGACAGGGGATCCCCTCAGAAGTTTTCGGCTGTCAAACTGGTCCATATTGCCAGTCCCAAAAAAGAAAGCAACCCAGCAAAGTTTGAGAAGGAAATATACGATGTGGCCATCAGTGAATTCTCCCCTCCAGGAGTAGCTGTTGCTATAGTCAGGCTAACCCCAGAAACCCAGGGGGAAGAATATAAATTATCACATAGTGAGGATGCAGAGTATTTTAAGATTAATCCCAGGACAGGTCTAATTACCACTGCACAGCCTTTAAAGATTGTTGACAAGGAATTTTATGATTTAGAAGTAATAAGCAAAGAAGGGGACTTAAAAGCACATGTCACTGTCAGGATAGAGGACGCCAACGATCACATTCCAGAGTTCACGCAGCCTTCGTACAGCTCCTTTGTCAATGAAAGTGTCCCTGTGGGGACTAGCATTTTGTCAGTTTCTGCATTTGATAAGGACAGGGGAGAAAATGGCTATATCACGTACAGCATTGCTAGTTTAAATTCACTTCCTTTTTCCATCAACCAATTTACTGGCATTATTAGCACGTCCGAAGAATTGGATTTTGAGTCTTCCCCAGAGAGCTACAGGTTTATTGTTAGGGCTTCAGACTGGGGTTCACCTTACCGCCACGAGAGTGAGGTTAATGTGACCATATACATAGGAAACGTGAATGATAACAAGCCCTTGTTTGAAAAGGTGGCTTGTCAAGGGGTCATTTCATCTGATTTCCCTGTCGGTGGCCACATCACTGCCGTTTCTGCTATAGACATAGATGAGCTGGAACTCGTCAAATACAAAATAATTTCTGGTAACGAACTGGGGTTTTTCTACCTGAATCCAGATTCGGGGGTTCTGCAGCTTAAAAAGTCCTTAGTTAACGCTGGCATCAAGAACAATAATTTTGGACTTAAGATTACGGCGACTGATGGGGAGAATTTTGCAGACACCATGTTTGTGAACATCTCAATAGTTCATGGGAAAGTATCCTCCAAGACCTTCAGTTGCCGAGAGACTAGGGTTGCCCAGAGGCTGGCAGAGAAGTTGCTCAAAAAGGCAAAAGCCAATGTGAAACTAAATTCAGAAGATGGCTTCTTGGATTTTTACTCTGTGAACCGGCAGGCCCCACACTTTGATAAATCATTTCCTACTGATATATCAGTCAGAGAGGACCTTCCTGTTGGTGCTACCATATTTAGAATCAAGGCCTACGATGCCGATTCTGGCTTTAATGGAAAGGTAGTCTATACCATATCGGATGGCAATACAGATAGCTGCTTTGATCTTGAAATGGAGACGGGTCTGCTGAAGGTCCTTATGCCCATGGACCGTGAGAAAACCGAGCTGTACCTCCTTAACGTAACCATTTATGATCTAGGCAGCCCTCAGAAAGCCATGTGGAGATTACTTACCATTACTATCGAGGATGCTAATGATAACGAGCCTGTATTTTTACAGGAAAGTTACTCTGTTAGCATTTTGGAAAGCACAAGTATTGGTACAGAAATTATCCAAGTAGAGGCCAGGGACAAAGATCTGGGACGAAATGGTGAGGTCACTTATTCCATATTGACAGATACACAACAGTTTGTTATCAATACCTCTACGGGAGTAGTATATGTGGGTGACCATTTAGACAGGGAATCAAAGGCAAATTATACATTAAAGATAGAGGCGAGGGACAGGGCAGATAGTGGGCACCAGCAATTTTCCGTCGTTCCTCTAAGGGTGTTTTTGGACGATGTCAATGATTGTTCTCCAGCTTTCATACCACCCAGCTACAGCGTGAAGGTCCTGGAGGATTTGCCTGTGGGTACTGTCATTGCTTGGCTTGAAACTCAAGACCCAGATCTTGGTCTAGGAGGACAAGTGCGCTATTCCCTGGTGAACGATTACAACGGCAGATTTGAGATAGACAAGGCCAGTGGAGCTATCCGGCTGAGCAAAGAACTGGACTACGAGAAGCAACAGTTCTACAACCTGACAGTCCGCGCGAAGGATAAAGGACGCCCGGTTTCTCTGTCCTCCGTTTCCTTTGTGGAAGTGGAAGTTGTGGATGTGAACGAAAATCTCTACACCCCCTATTTTCCTGACTTTGCAGTCATTGGATCTGTAAAAGAAAATTCGCGCATTGGAACTAGTGTTTTGCAAGTGAGCGCTCAGGACGAAGACGTGGGCAGGGACGGCGAGATCCAGTATTCCATCCGGGATGGCAGCGGACTGGGAAGGTTTAACATAGACGAAGAAACCGGTAAGTGTTTTCATTGCAACGGGCCATCTTAAAAGACATAAAATGCCTCACAGCCGTCCAGACCTCAGTCCAAATATAATTGCACGTTGCAACGACCTCACCTTGACCCAGTGGCAGGAGACGTGCCTTCTGTGCACAGGAATCCCATATTGGATTATGGTGTTAAAATTTAGGCATTGGATACATGTGTTTCAGGTTTCCTTTAGCGACCTTTGTGCAGATGAAATTAGGAATTTTAGATAGATAGAATATATCCCAGGCGTGGTGGCAAAATGCCTTTCCTTTGCAACTTGCTCTGCCCTCATTGAAAGGCAATGGCGGCCTGTCTGTGACTCCATTAGGAGCAGTGTATTATGCAGCGATAACCGTAAATTATTCAGGTTGCCGCAGTAGACGGTCAGTGCACTCTTGACCCCACTGAAAACGGGAAGCCAAATAAAGCAAAATTATGACTGCAAAATTAGGATGTCGGAGGAGTGGAAGGGGCATTATTTTGGCTTGTGTCCATTGTGCTTCATGTTTTGTTCGGTGCTTTTTTAAAGGTAGGAATTTGGCAGTCTCTGAACAATGTTAATTACTGCAGAAACGAGCTTAGCGTAGATATTAGCGAGATGTTTGAACTCTGTGCTTGTATCAGGTTTTTTAATGCAAAAGGCATTAAATGTATTCATTTTCCAAAGATGATTAAAAGTCTGGTGGCTTTCAAAGATTTAAATCGCCCCCACACTGCCATTATGGAACATTATCAAAATGGGAGTGGGGGGGGGCGTGCGAGATCCAGGCGTCTGATAAAATTGCAGTTCAACAAGCTGGTTGTTTAAGTATCTAATAGCTGCTGGCATTAATAGGGCAGCTGTGACATTAGATTAAGTGAGGAAATTAGAAAGCATTACTTCGCATTTTTGAGAAATTTCATTAAGCGCTGCCTTCGCATTAAGTTCTGCCCCGAGACAAAGCGGGAGCCAAGGGCACTTGCTCTATTCCATCTCTCCCTACAGCCGGGAAAGCAAATGCATGTAAAAGTTAGATACTTACAGCATGAAGCTCGGAGGGCCGGAAATCACTGATAAAAGTGGCGGGGCCCAGGGAAAGATGGAGATGGGCTCTCATCGTATCTGAGTAAATATTGTGTTCATGAGGAGAGAGAACTGGAGAATGTACGTCTCACGGCTCGTGTCCCCCCATCCGGGCTGGTTCTGGGGGGAGGCTGAGCAGAGAGTTCGCAGCGGCCCCCTTCCCACCCATGCACCCATGTGTCTCACCTCCTTCTGGGCATCCTGCCCTGCTCTGCCCATTCTCACAACCACCTGCCCTTCCCACATCCCTTTCCCTGATGGGACTGGGCAGTGTGTGCCGCTGAATGCACGGGTGGCGAAGCCCTCACAAGTGAGCAGGCAGGGAAATGGGAAGTTGTGGGGGGTTGTTCGCAGTGGGCCCTCCCGGAAGCCCTGCGCCCTGGGAGCCACCCCACCTGAGGGGATGCTGACGCCGGCCCTGCCCCCCGACCTTGATTCTGTCCCCCATAACAGGTTATTTTAAGTTGTTGATGGGTCTGCCGTTTCCAGTGCAGTCCTTGGGTATGATTAATTAGGACGCCCCTTCCTTCCATCTCTAATGGATCCTTCCTCACCCCTAGGCTTCTTTTATCTTCAAAGTGAGTAGAGCCCTTAAGAAAGCTTTTCTGGCTGATGAGGAGGGGATTAAGGTCTGGGGGGTGGGGTGTACATTAACCCAATCTCCCCTTTGGGATTACTGTAAGCCTCCCGAGGAAGCCAGTTTGCCCATTTCCCCGTCTCCCTCCGTTTTCCTTTATTTTCTCTTTCGCTGGCGCTCACCTGACCTCATCGTTCTGCGACTTCAAGAGGACAACAAACTTTCTGTTTCTGGCAGTTTCTCCTTCAGTTTTTAAAGAATAAACTCATGACTTTCTGCTTATACATGGAGTTCTCCCAATGATGGAAAATCGGTATTTCATGTATGGCCCTGTTTGGCTACTGTACGCACAGGGAACCATCTACGGGCACAATGTACTTAAGCAAAATTCGCAATCCAGCCCCTTCTGGGAAGCCGGCGGTTGGGTAGACTTCAGCCAAAACTAGAGGGCTTGTTGAGGAGCTGCCAAGATCCCTGTTGCTGCATAGTAATGCAAAATCCTTCTCTGTAGAAGCTAATGACACGTTTTTAAATAACTCCCAATATCGCCACACATCCAGTTATGAAATCTAAAGAGCCCTGTATGTTCTGTGCTGAGAATTTTAAATATTCATGGGGCAGCTGTGCCTTTTCCCAGATAATTACCCCACAGAAAAGGACCCTGGTCACGTCGGATACCAGTTCTGCAGCCCATGTGGTATAATGGTTAATCTTGCCCCAAGAACAGTTGTTGTTTTTTAAAACCATAGCTGTGGTTTGTGAGGTTTTGCTGTGGTTGAAGGAGATAATGAGTTTCTTTCCGCAAAGGCCTGTCATTTTTCAATTTGGTATTAAAGCCCAAGATGAAGAAAAGTCTCTGTTTGGGCTAATTCATGCTGTTTAATCAGATGTCAGGATTCCAAGCTGATGGTGAAAGCCAGACAGCAGTGTATATACACTCTGGGGTCTGGCTTATAGGGAGGGGGGGGAATACGCAGCGAAAACATTTAACTCTCTTTGAGCTGCAGTTGAACACTTGAACTGGACACTTGAATTGTGCAAAGTCAGTGTAGCTGGCAACTGCAGGGTGCAAAGATTTAGGTGCCAACCTCTTTTAGGGTGTTTGAAAATTCCCCCCCACCCCCTAGTTGCTCTGTCGTTTGGGAACTAGGCACAGGGGGGTGGAGGGAATTAAGGCCAACTGTCAGCCAAACTCAGTATTATAAGAGACTCGGGGCTTCTGCCGATCTGTGTCTTTTCACTTTCTTTTCCTTCGAACATATAAACAAGCAGTGTGTAATGTGACATCATTGCTTAGAGTGTGTGTCCACCCAAAGCGGTGGAAGAATAAGTGCATGGCTGTCCGGTCTTGCGTCTGGTTAACATTCAAAGCAGACCCTGTGTCTTGGCGGCATTCCCCTTTTGAACAGCTCTTACTTGGAATCCCTGTCATGTTTTTGGAACTTCTGCACTGTGGAGGAGATGCGCTGGGATTTGGTGAGGGGTGGGGTGTGTGAGGGGGGGGTCATGCATACCATCTGAGAGGCTAACCTCCAGAGACACAGAATGGGCGTATGCTCTTCATCAGATCCTCACGCTACTGGGTGTCACTGGGCGCCCCCTCCAAGCTGATTCGGTGCTTGAGTCAGTCAGAGGGAAATATTTCTTGATGACAGTCCTTGCCCTGGTTTTTCTCCCAAAAGCAGACCTAAAGCAGCTTGCAATACATACTGGGGGTGGCGGGGAAAGTGCCATCAAATTGCAGCTGACGTCAGTGACCCTGTTGGGTTTTTAGGGCAAGAGACATTCAGAGGTGGTTGGCCATTGCCTGTTTCTGCGTAGCAACCCTGGACTTCCTTGGTGGTCTCCCATCCAAGTACTAACCAGGGCTGACCCTGCTTAGCTTCTGAGATCTGATGAGGTCTAGCCTAGGTCACCCAGATCAGAGCACAACAAATATCAATACAGGCTGTGACTCAGAAGGAGGAGGAGGAGGAGGAGGAGGAAGAGGAGGGGGAGATTGGATTTACACCCCGCCCTTCACGCGGCGTCTCAGAGCGGCTTACGATCTCCTTCCCTTCCTCTCCCCACAACGGACACCCTGTGAGGTAGGTGGGGCCGAGGGAGCTCTTTTGAGGACTGCTCTTGAGAGAACAGCTCTGAGAAAACTGTGGCTTGCCCAAGGTCACCCAGCAGCTGCATGTGGAGGAGTGGGGAATCAAAGTCATTTTCCCCAGGTTAGAGTTCATGCTCTTAACCACTCCACCAAACTGGTAATAGCACTTGTTATGCAAAAATTATCCCACTGACCTCTCCACTGTAAAAGGACCACAGAGCTGCTATCAGAGTAGACGATACTGACTTGGATGGACCTGTAATCTGATTCAGTATAACACAGCTTGCATGCGTATGGGTGTGTGAGCCATGGGTGGAAAACCCCTTTGGCTCACTTACAAAATCCTCACATCCAGGCTTTGAACACCTACAAGGGAAACAGCTTAGGTCTTAAACAGCTGGCAGCCATCTTCCCACCATGCCCCCCCCCCCCGGCTCCAAATTCACTCACCGTGGCTTGCCCAAGGTCACCCAGCAGCTGCATGTGGAGGAGTGGGGAATCAAGCTCATTTCCCCCAGGTTAGAGTTCATGCTCTTAACCACTCCACCAAACTGGTAGTAGTGCTTGTTATGCAAAAATATCCCACTGACCTCTCCAGTTTAAAAGGACAACAGAGTAGACGATACTGACCTGGATGGACCTGTAATCTGATTCAGTATAACACAGCTTGCATGCATATGGGTGTGTGAGCCATGGGTGGAAAACCCCTTTGGCTCACTTACAAAATCCTCACATCCCGGCTTTGAACACCTACAAGGGAAACAGCTGAGGTCTTAAACAGCTGGCAGCCATCTTCCCACCATGCCCCCCCCCCCCCGGC